AAAAAGGTCTAATATCCAGAATCTACAAGGAACTTAAACAAATTTACAATTTTAAAAAAGCCATTAAAAAGTGGACAAAGGACATCAACAGACACTTCTTAAAAGAAGACATACATGTAGCCAACAATCATCTGAAAAAACGTTCAACATCACTGATCATTAGAGAAATGCAAATCAAAACCATAATGAGATACCATCTCACACCAGTCAGAATGGCTGTTATTAAAACGTCAAAAAACAATAGATGTGGCAAGGTTGCAGAGAAAAAGAAAGCTTTTACACTGTTGTTGGGAGTGTAAGTTTACCCATTGTTGAAAACAGTGTGGCAACTCCTCAAAGACCTAAAGGCAGAAACACCATTTGACCCAGCAAACCCATTACTGCATATATACCTAAAGGAATATAAATCATTCTATTATAAAGATACATCCACATGTATCTTTAGTTCTAGTGTTGATCTTCCCCTGTCCTGCCCTCTCTTCCATCTGGCATTAATTACTACACTCTTATTCATTACAATATATTGCCTTTCAAATATGGCAAAGCCTCAGAAAGGACTACGCACTAGGCCACAAAAGAAGCAATAGATTCTAACAAATGAAAATCCTAAAAAACACATTTCTAACCACAGTGTGACAGGATCAGAGTAAGCAAGCAAAAGGACAGTGGATGACTTCCCCGACTCATTCCACTGAGAAATTTTAAAAGCTGCTTCCAAACACTATGTTAGGTTAACTAGGAAATCAAAATCAAAATAACAAATGGCTAAGAAACTCCAACGAAAACATTATTCATTACAAAGGCCAAATGTTACCAAAGTGGCACAGAGGTGAACATTCATGGCCTAAAATGCATTTATTAGAAAATAAGAAACACTGACAAGTAACTTAAATTTGAAAAACTTCATTTATTTAAAAAAGAAACAGAGCGCAATGTAATACCCTCAACGAAGTTGAAGAATTACAAAAGAAAACATATAGAAAAACATAAAAATGTTAAGCAAGATGTAATTACATCTCAAACAAAAAATAAGAGTAATGGATCAATAAAAGCTAAAGGTGGTTCATTTAAAAGACCAACAAAGTGGAAAGATTGATCAAAAGAACAAAGAAAAAGACAATAATAAACAATGGAAGGAATAAGAAAAACAGTATGTCTTCAGAGAAGGAAAGAATTAAAATTTTATAAAAGAAATTCCTTTACAGCTTTCTACCAATAAATAAGAGAATCTAGGAAAAATGTTACTTTTTAGGACAATATAAATGATAAAAACTGCCTCAAAGGTCAGCATAAGAACTAAAAATAAAAGAAATAGATAATATGTTTACAGACCTACCCTAAACTACTTTCACCCCACACCTACACACAGAGACATCAGTTTCAAATAGTTTAAAGGACAATTTTCAGCAATCCTTCAAGTAACAGGTAATGCCTGTATTAAACAAATCATTCATTAATATATATATATATATATATATTTAAAATTTTAATCATCCCCAATTATTTCATAAGGTTGTTACAGTTTTGCTATCAACACCAGACAAATATAAAATAAAAAGTGTTGCTTATAAACACATGAGGTAAAATCCCACAATAAAATACATGTAAATCCAACACAGGAATGAAAGGAAAAATCATGTGACATGACCATGTAGGTGTTATCTCAGGAATTCCAGTGTAGTACCGGAGTGAGCAGAAAATCAATTGCCTCCTGGATTTATCCTGGCATATACATCAGACTGAGTTGTGGTTTCCCTGACAAATTCGTGTAGATGTGGAATGTAGTATCTGGCCCTCAGCAGCTTAGTTAGTCCTACCTGTCCTAAGTGTGTGTCCTGATGTGTGTTCCTAAGTAGGACCCGTCCTAAGGTCTTGGGGACCACAGTCCTTGTGTCTGGCAGAATCCACCATTCTGGGAGGGACAGAATTGGGGCTGGTAGAGTTACAAGCAAGGGGGCCACCCTATTATGTCACCCAGGCAGGGAGGGGGCCATGCACAGTAGGGGGCTGGAGATTTCAAAGGATTTTTAATAGAAGGATATTGTAAGCTTAATGCAATGGGAGCTGACAGACTTGTGTTTTTCTCTTTAGATATTTATGGGAGGATGATTTGAGCTAGCACAGAAGCGAGAAAAGACTGACAGGGTATATAGCCATTGTGACTGGTCACGCCAGAGGGGTTCTTCTCCCTTGGTTACTTTCAGGATCTCAGGCCTGAAGCCTACTTTTCACAGGAACTGGATGCAAAGTACTACAACTCCTTTATCAGGAGGAGAGGCACTTGCTCCAAGCCTGCCATACAGCACATGCCCTTTCAGGCAGGGACACCACCACATGGATTTTTGGTTCTTGTCTTGGTCTGGCTGTTTTCCCACGTACTGCTTTTGTTCTGTGACTGCTCTAGGCATTTCTTCCACTATAAGCTACTATATGGTTATATAGTAGGATTTTATAAATCAGCACTAAATGAGTTAGTATAGCTCCGACTACATGCAGGATTATATAAAGGAAATGGCTGAGTAATATTACCTTAAACTAAGATATTCTTTAGGCACTGGTTGTGCCTCTGGTCTGGACAGTTTTTTCCTCGGTGCCCATGGAGGGTATTACCCATATATTAGGAGGGGCCCGTGTGTGGGCCTCCTAGTTGCCCCCTTAACCCCTGCTAAAAGATACTGGTGAAAAGCGTTCAGAGACTGGTGACTCCCGAGGTGTTGGAGCCCCACTGGGGTCAGGTAGAAGGAAAAATGTCTTTAATCCGGTCTCAGTTTTCCTCTATTATACCTTTCACCAGACCTATAATGGCCTTAAGGGCCTTTTATTTAATTCTGCTTTTCTCTTCGGTGGTAAACAGAATGATAAGTAACTGCTGACAGTTATTCCAAGTGGGGCGATGAGTCTGCAGAGTGGACTCCAGGAGTCCTGTGAGTGTCTGAGGCTTTTTAGAGAATGGAGGCTGCTGAGCCTTCCAATTGTACAAGTCACTTGAGGAAAAGGGGATGTGGACAAAGAATGGGTGAACCCACTGTCTTCCATTGGGGGTGCCTCTTGGAGGGGTGGAATCCCGGGTGGGTGTAGGGCCCCACTGCAGGTATGCAGTGGGGACAAGGGCTGGCCACTCGTGCTGTCTGGGGTAGGGTGTTGAGGTTCTTGCCTAGAAGGCCTAGGGTAAGGTGGGGGCAACTCTTGGTCCTCCGCGGCCTTTTGTATACATTTGATTAACCATGGTGGGTGGCGTCGGACCAGATTCAGCCACTGATCAATGTATGGGTGTTGGTCAGGGTGCCCAGGGGACCCGTCACAACGTTCCATACTGCTTGGGTGAATTTTGGATTGTAGATTCCCGTGTCTGGCTACCCCACTCCAAACGATGGCCACTTTAGTTCACACAATGTGCAGAGCTTTTCCAGTTTTAACTTTTCCCCATATTGTCCTGAAAACCCCACTTTGAAACTGTCCATCATGCATTGGAAGGGGGTGAAGGGCCAGGAGCTAGATCACCTCATTTGGTTTTTCTCTGGGTCCTGGAACCGGTTTTAACTAGACTTTTTTTGTTTGTTTGTTTTAAGCCAATTTAGATGGAAAAGTTCTGCTGTAGAGAGAGCCAATTCTAACCAAGATGAATTATACTGAACATGAAGTTCTATAGCTTTCAGCTTTTGAATATTCCCAAGAAGTTTCCTTCTAGATTTAAGACTGGCTCCCACTGAGGATTTGAAACAGCAACATTGCAGTTGCAGGCCCTATACCTTAACTACTGTGCTAACAGGCCACTTGTAGTAAAGGCAGGCAGAAAGTTTTCTTGAGTCATATTCTGGATGCGATTACTGCACCCTGAGGTTGTGTGGCCTGCCTGAAAGCTGGGTGGGGCTGGCGGTCAGCAGAGAAAGGAAAAAAAAAACAATTTTGGTGTCAGTTTAAAACTGAGCTCACAGCCACCTTCAGCTTGCAGCCACACTGAGCTCGCTGCTGCTAGGCTGGCTGCGAGTTTCCTGCCCCTGTGGTTTTTGGTCACCTTGACATAGGGACCCTAAAAAGCATTAAATTTCTCTCTCCCTATTTCTCTCTCTTCTCACTCTCTCTCTCCTTTTCTCTCCTCTCCTCTCTCTCTGTCTCTCCTTGTCCTCTCTGTCTCCTCTCTTGTTCTTGTACTCTCTCCTCTCTTCTCTCTTTTGACAGAAGAGAAAATTACTCCTTTTTCACCCTAAATGGGTGAAGAGGGCTGGTAGTTTCTTATTTAAGGTTTGATTCCCTAAGACAGAGAAAAATTACACACAAGTTGCTGAGGGCGGAATTTTCTCTTGGACATTAAAAAGAGAAAGAATTAGGAAAGGAAGAATGAGGCCTCATGATAGAAAAGGAATAGGAAAAGGAAAGAGAACAGAGTTATTTCCAGGAGCATGAAGTCAGTAAAGGTCCCCTGCAGCCAGTGGTCCGTCAGCCACGGTAGAATGTTTTCTACCTTAAGGGAAGCAGGTCTGAACCATTGTATAACAGCCAACAAAAGTTTAGCAAAACTGGTGAATCTACAAAACAGACAGAACCACATATAGGATTGACAGACAAAGGATGGGTGCACCCCAGATGGGAGACCAGTCTGATGCCTGCCCAGCCATGTTCCTGAAGGGATATTTCAGGATGTCTTGGCTAAGGTGTCCCCGTATAAACCCCGGGCCTGGTTACCTCAGAATTTTTGGTTCTGAGATGAATCCTTGTTATGCCTTATGACGCTCCCATGGAACCGTGGGTGAAGGCCCTCACAAGCCCTGTAGCCTACTGGCCATGGGACTACATATATACACATTCGTTTTCACACTCACACAGAGGTTATGGAAAACAACCAAGCACTGATACCCACTATACCAGCTACCAGATGCCAGAGCCTCAGGTGACATCTTAGGGAGGCTTGCCAGGGTCAGAGTTGCAGTGACTGTGTCCGGTCCCCTGGCTCAGGCTACAGATACCAATGGACCGGTCCCCAGATTCCAGAACAGACTTACCTCTGGAGGTTCCCAGGACCCTGAAGAATTTTGAGTGAATGTCGGCAGCGCAGTTACACAGTCACCATGGGGCCTGAACCCTGGTGCCCTGGAACGTCTCAGTGGGTGCCTCCCCTAGGGATCCCCGGGGTGGGGGCAACCACCCGGCCGGGGCTCTGAGATGGCTTTTGTCTGGTGATGGATGGAGAAAGATCTCACTGGGGCCTCCAGATGTAGCACCGGAGCTAGCAGAAAATCAACACCAAGACAAAAGTATGCCAAATTGCAGGGTCTTTATTGCCAGCAGCCACGGAGGGCTCATGTCTCTCCAACCTGTGGCCCCGAGCTCAGGGGGAGCAAGGCATTTAAACTGCAAAACCACATCCTTTTCTTGTTCAGGGGGGCACAGGGGTGTGCAAGGCAAGCTGCCTGTACAGAAGCTAAAGTCTGTGGTTTGTTGCAACGGAAGGGGGGTAGCAGTGGAGACTTTTACCCTAACACTTCTGAAAATTGATGTATATTAACTGTTCTGAGAACGACACCTCTGCCCAAGTGGTTTCTCTATAAGATGGCAGTGCTTAGGCTTCAGTTCTAGCCCCTACCACACCAGGACAAATCACATTAGAGAATCAGTCTCGGTATTTGGTTAAGCCTGGCAGGTTAAACACACCTGCATTCATCTTTGTTCCCTGTGAAATCTCATGATAATAGAGAGTCACAGGCAGAGAAGCAGAACGAACCAGGTAATAGGAGACAAAAGGACATCTGATAAGAGATAACAAAACATTTCAGAAGATAGGTGGATACATGGCAGCTAATTTCACAGAATAAAATGCCTGATCGCTTGTAGAGAAAATGCTGACAAGGAGTAAGCCCATGTATGTTTTTGAACTCTGGAAGTGGCCAGGAATTAGAGGCACTATTTCTTCAGAAGATAAATTGGAAGGTGAAAATCCAAATGCAGTACAGTCAGTGAGAGGCATTCCTTACACAGTGCTCCTAATCAGACTTTTAGTGTCTCATTCCTAAATGTGAATGGACACCCAATGGACAAGTGATGAATTATTTCAGAACAAGCAAATAATGGAGTGGGAGCTAGGAAAGAAACTTGGAAAAAACAGATGTAATTGTAAAATATTGGATTTCTTGAAATGACAACAAGATGCTATAAGAGAAAAAAAACTTTTTTTTTTTTTTTTTTTTTTTTTTTTTTTGAGACGGAGTTTCACTCATATTACCCAGGCTGGAGTGCAATGGCGCGATCTCGGCTCACCGCAACCTCCGACTCCTGGGTTCAGGCAATTCTCCTGCCTCAGCCTCCTGAGTAGCTGGGATTACAGGCACGCACCACCATGCCCAGCTAATGTTTTGTATTTTTAGTAGAGACGGGGTTTCACCGTGTTGACCAGGATGGTCTCGATCTCTTGACCTCGTGATCCACCCGCCTCGGCCTCCAAAAGTGCTGGGATTACAGGCTTGAGCCACCGCGCCCGGCTGAGAAAAACAACTTTTTAAAAGGGCTTTTGGAAGTTAAAAATATGATGGCAGAAATTTTTAAGTCACTAGAAGAAATGAAGGTCCTGAGAAAATGTTATAGAAGGTAGATTAAAAAGAAAACATACAAGATTGTCAAGAAAAAAGAAAAACAAGAAGCCTCTAAGAAGATCAGTCTAGGAAACCTAATAGCCAACTAACAAGAATTCCAAAACATAAAAGAGAGAGATAAGGCAGAAGGGAGAAAATAATCAAATAATATCACAAGCAAAATGATGAGAATTGAAATAAATTGGTCTCCATTTGAAAGGGCTCTGGAGAACTGAGCACAACACCAACACCAAGGCAAACCTTCATGAGATTTTAGAATCAAGGGATTAAAGAGAAGAGCCAGAAAGTTTCAGAGAGGCAAAACAGGTGACATAGAAAGACATATACACCATGGAATACTATGCAGCCGTTAAAAACGATGAATTCGTGTCCTTTGTAGGGACTTGGGTGAATCTGGAAACCATCATTCTCAGCAAACTGACACAAGACCAGAAAATCAAACACCACATGTTCTCACTCATAGGTGGGTGTTGAACAATGAGAACATGTGGACTCAGGGAGAGGAGCATCACAGACTGGGGGCAGTTGGCGGGGTGGAGGGGAGAGACAGCAGGGGATGGGGAGGGAGGGGAGGGTGGGGAGGGATAACATGGGGAGAAATGCCAGATATAGTATGCACCTAAAGTTAAATAAATTAATTTTTTTTAAAAAAGAAAGAATCAAGAATCAGAATGGCATCTGACTTCTTATTAACAATGCTGGAAACTGCCAGACAGTGAACCAAATTAATTTCCAAAGTATACATTTAGACTTACCAAATTGTTATACAGTTGTGAGGATTAAGAATAATTTTTCCAGATATGAATGATCTTAATATATATACCTTCTATGAATTCTTAGTCAGAAGTTTCCTGGATAATGTGGTAAAGTGAAATGAGATAGTAAAGCAAGAAAGAAGCATACATGTAGTTCACAAAACAAGACCCAACACTGAAGGTCAGTCTTGGAAGCTGAAACTAGCCAGAACTCATTGGATCAGGAGAATGGATAACTCCAGAAGGGCTTCCCCAAGAAAATAAAATGGAATTGATAAATTACACAATTTGTCTCACTGTCTTGAGAATTTTAGAGTTCTTCAGGGTGCTTGGGAAGAATTCATAATGAGGGCACACAAAATCCAGGCAAATATGTAAGAGGACAATAGTTACTTTTGGGAGGGATGTTGCACAAGAAAGGAAATGTGATCGTAATATAGTATATGACTTGGTTATGAACAACATTTAAATAGTCACCATAATGATAACACTGATTAAAGATGAACCTGTAACTGTGATGTATTACGAAAATGGATGGAGAATGAAAAGGAGTGTTATGGGAGAAGTCTTCATTTTCTGCCCTATTATATGAACAGATTAATGTGTGAAACTTGAAAAATTACAATAAGCTATATCAGTATATCATTTCAAATTACAGAAGTAGATACAGAAGGAAGAGCTGAAAGGTTAAAGATAATCCATATGGGAAACTGGACACAGTCTGGGAAATTGGCCAAAAAAGCTACTTCTGTTTCTTAAGGCCTTGTTGACTGTTTTATATTTCAATCTCTCTATGCATGTTTTACTTTGGAAAAATTAACAGCACAATTAATAAAAGCAAAATGAGATGATCATCTCAAAGATTGTTTGGCAAACATTTTGATAAATATCCTATACATGGTCTTGATTAAAAGAAATACCTTTTAGTAAACCAGAGCTTGCAGAAAGTGTCCTTAACTTGAAAAAAGGCATCTGTCAGAAAGTCTCAAGATAAACGTTATAAGAATTCCCCCGAATGCAGGAACAAAACTAAAATGCTCATTTTTCTTGTTACTATTTGGTATTACACTGGCAATTCTGCCTAATGTACTAAAGGGAAAAGAAAGAAAAAAGTAAGAAAAAGAAAAACTTACAGGTATAAATTCTGAAAAAGAACAGACAAAGCTGCTATTTCGAAGATGTAATTATTTCTCCAGAAAAAAATACAAGACAATAGGAGGGAGAAGACCACTTGGAAAGTCTCCTATGCACAAGATCAGCAAACTAAAACAAATAGATTTCTCTTATGCCTGGAAGAAATAACTACAAAATGTAAAAGGAAAATGAGTTTCTGTTTACAAATACGATTTTAAAATGCCTAGCACTAAAGTGACCTAATAAGGACCCAAGATCAAAGAATTATAAATAAGTGCAGAGATCTGCCATGTTTCCAGCTGGGATCACTCAGAAGTTTTTAAAATGTAAGTTCTTGTTAAATTTATCTATTCATTTAGTGTCTCTCAATTGAATCCCAGCAAGAGAGGTTACAGAACGCTACCTAGAAAATCATAGCAACTAAAACATTTCAGTATTGAAACTAGAATAAAAAATATAACAGATCAGAACATGGGTCACCTACACAAATTTAAATGTAAGAGAGAATTTAGAACACTAGTTCCCTTTTATCCACAAGGGATGCTTCCAAGATCCCCAGTGGACGCCTGAAATTGCAGATGGTACCAAACTCTGTATATGCTATGTTTTCCCCTATCTATACATAAATGAGGCACAATGAGATTAAGAACAATATTTAATAATAAGGTAGATCAACTATAACATATACTGTAATAAAAGTTATATAAATGTGGTCTATTTCTCTCTCTCAAAATATTGTACTGTAGATATTAGCAACCTTAGCATATGATTTTGGTTTTTTTCAGGAAATTTCACATTTTCACTTAAAGGAAGCACTTGACGGCTTCTCTTTGGTAGGTCTGAGATGCCAGCATCAGTCCTAGTGTGCTTTGGGGCCGTTATTGACTAAAATAAGCGTTCCCTGAACACAAGCAGTGTCATAACGTGACAGTCGATCTGATTACCAGGGTGGCTACTCAGTGATTCATGGGTTGGTAGTGTCTACATTGCAGATACGCTGGAAAAACGGATAGTTCGCATCCTGTGGGGGATGGAGATGGGCAGCATGAGATTTCATCACTCTCCTCAGGACAGGAAGTAAGTTAAAGCTCATGAATTGTTTATTTCTGGAATTTTCCATGTAATGTTTTTGGACCATGGTTGACTATGAGTAACTGAAACCTCAGAAAGTGAAACTGTGGATAAGGGAGAACTACTATAGTTAATAAGAGCACAAAGAGATCCAATATCTGTGAAGAAATCTAGCAGAAGTACAAAATCTTCAGAGAGAAAATATATTTTAATAGAAAGTATTTCTAAGTTAATAATTTACATAAGCCATATTCATAAGAATGGAAGGCATAATATTGTATATATGTTGGTTCTCTTCAAATTTGTCTATAGAGTCAGGGCAATTCCACAGAAAATGCCATATTCTGACAGGCTAACTTGGGAACCCAAAGTTTAAGACATTTTGAAGGAAGAGGAAGAGATTTTGCTCCATCATCTGTCAAGAGTTTTTGGAAAGCTGCCATCACTATGGCAGTGGGGTATTGGCATAAGGAGAGGCTCTCACAGGCCAGGGGCAGAGAAGAGAGAACACAAAAACACACCCTGCCCCTATGGCCACTTGGTTCACAAGAAGTGGGGAAAAGGATAATATAATTAATGGTGTCCTCCGAAAAAATTGATAAGAATAAAAACAGAGCCTTCAAACTGTAGATCAGACAAAAAACAATTTGGTCTCAGCTAAAATAGGAACTGTGAA